AAATTTTTTTTTTTTTTTTTTATTTTCGTCCGTATAATCGACATAGTTTGAAGAAAAAAAAAAAAATTAGATTTTCGCATCGAAAATACTAATAACTCCGCGTCGGTCACTTAGGTGTTGAATTCGGGGAATTGAAAATGGCCCGTATGTTATTCCCGGACTAGAACTGCATTTATGTGATATCAATTCAATCCGTGCGGTATAGCTGTGGTGAGTGTAGTTTGATACCCCTCACCGTGGAACCGATCCATCCATCCCAACAAAATTCTACATTTATAATATTAGTGGGACATGTATACAAACGAGTGCTTCTTTCTTTCTTTGTCCAATTAATCTAAAAACCGCTTGTCTACGTTTTGTCTCGAAATTCAACCGCTATAATGGGTGACTGACACGGGGTTTTTGGTACGGCTGAAACAAAAATATTATTTTTACTTTTTCATCGGTTTATAGGTTTCTTTGGTTATTACCGGTTGAACGAGAAAACAGTTGTTAACAATTAATTTGAGTGCCCGGTGTAAGAAAATGTTTTTTTTTTTTGAAAAAAATACACGGATAAAAACGGTTAACTACAGTGATTGGGACTGCGTTTTTTAACGTTCAATACTGACACGGGTAAACCAATGCGGAACATCTTTTAATATATACTTACACTGTTTCGCGTTTTCACGCTATCATCTCGTTGTATCTGTATTTTTAAGTGTCCGGGAAATTTGAAGCAATGGTGAATTTGTTTAAAAAAACGCCCCTTTTTTCTCTCGTCTTTCCAAATAATAATATACTATAATTTTCAAATAATATAATAACTACGTCCTGCAAATACGTTTTACATTAACCCTGGACGTATTGTATGAGATGACATCAGTGTCAATACCCAATGCCGAAATCCGATACCTACCGTCGTTTCGAAAACTAATTTAAAGTTTTCCTTTGACCGCCGTTACCATATTATATAAAGCGTTGGTCTATGTTCTAATCAGGGATACGATTGGATAAAGACAAAAAAAATATTTCGGAACACGTTTTTGTCAAACAAACAGAACACACACCTAGTTGTATATTTTAGACATCTTAAGAAAATCTTAACTACATACGATGCGTTGGTTACGTATTTCATTTCGGGCAGAGAGGGAAATGTTTTAGCTCTCGGGTGATTTAATTACGTCCGACTATATTATTAAAAAAAAAAATACCGAACAAGGAGTTTTTAACTTTTTTTTTTCTTTTTAACAGATTATAGAAAATTAATTAATTATTTTATGTTTCTTGATATAATTTACGTTATTTTAATTATTAATTAATATGTTAATTAAAATAAATTATTATGTTTATTCAAATTAAATGATAAAATTCAATTTTCTAGACAGGTCGTATGTAGCAGGTATTTGTATTGAAGTAGTTATTACCTCGAGAGTGAAAACTGACGTTTATGGAAATATTTCGATAAATTGACATGCGGGGGCGAGCGTTCCTTTCACAAAAACTCAATAAATGTAATTTCAGAGAGAGTCAAAGAGACGTAAATATATTCAGACACAGACCGCCATTTTTTTTTTAATTTTAAAGAGCTTTACAAAAAAAATTAACTTATAATAATATTTGTTTTTGATTTTATAAATTATACGCGCTATATGTACGTACCTATTTAAATATTTCGTATAATTTTTTTTTCTCGATAGCTCAATATCCAATACGCAACTTTGTACAATATATTTTAATCGTATTTTTTACTCGTTGCATTTTTTTGCCCCCCCTCCCCCCCGAACAAACCCATCTTATCGACGCTTTCCATTCGGTCGACAATACTCTATTTTCACATCTTACGTCTCTATATCTCGGCGTGTGACTCGTAAGCTGCATAACTGCACTACCTATAGTGACCATTCCGTTCTCGGTTATCGTTATCACTTGTCCCCCGTTCCACGCGG